CTTCCTGGGCCCTCCCCACCCCACCGCCAACTCCAGGACACACAAAACCCTCCTGGGTTCCTCATCTCCCTCGATTCCCTTCCATACACCCCACACCCCTCAGCCCCGTCACCACCAAGCAGCCAGAGCGTGCTCTGCAAAACTGACTCAGTGCACACCGCCCTGCTTCCACCTCCCAGCACCAACTGGATTCAGAACAAAACCGAGGCCCAGAGGCAGAGTCACCATCTCTGGCCCCTGTGGCTGCCCTGCCTCTCTCAGCTCCCGCCCCCCACACTGACTTAGCTTCTGTGCCAGAGGCATCACACTCATTTTGGCCGAGGGCCCCTCCCTCTGCCTGAAAGCTCCACCCCCAGCTCTGTTTCTCACTCGGGTCACCTCCTCTCCTGACCTGCAGCAGCCCTTGTCACTGGTATTGCCACAACACTTTTCACTTCCCTCTGCACACTCACCGTTATCCAGCACGGCTTTACTCAGGCGGCAGCAAACATTTCCATCGAGGACCAGAGAGTGGATGCTTTCCACAGGGCGGGCAGCCTATACGGTCTCTGTCTTGAAACTCAGTTTTGCCATGGTAGCGTGAAAGCCGCATAGACAACATGTGAGTGAGTGGGCGTATCTGTGTTCCAATAAAGCCGGCTGTGGACTTGTCCAGGGGGCCACAGACTGTGGTCCCGGGTCTTATCTGAGAGGCCAGAGGGCAATGGAGGAAGCCTCCTGGTCACTGATATGACTGACCGAGGCACCTGAACCCCACATGGCCCATGGTAGGTGCTTGACAAATATTCAATAAGCATCGTTCAAGTACTAAGAGGCAACTGCACGTCCTCACATGCTCTGAGCCCCACAGCCGATTCCAGCTCATGCCAGGCTCTGCAAGAAGCCGCTTATGATGTGCAGTTTGTTCCCTTTGGCTCACGTGTGGTCCTGAGGAGGGAAAACGCAGTGCTCACCTGGAGCTGACTACATGCCAGGCACCCTTCTAAGACCTTTGCACGTCAATTCACTCGGTCAAGACCCGAGAGAAAGGTAGCCATCGCGCCCATTTCACAGACAGAGACACCGAGGCGGAGTGTCCCCAGCTGGTAAAGGTGGTCCAACTCCGAGGCCTCTCCACGGAGCAGATCGAGGCTGCCAGTCCAAGTCACTTCTGTTGCATTCCTAGAAAGTGGCTGGGGCGGAATTCAAACTGGGAGCTTTCTGTCTCCTAAGAACACAGCTCACGCAACGAGGGATGCTCCAATCCCTGGTTACCAGGAGGTCACAACTTCAGAGGAGGCCTCCAATGACGACACCGGCCCCACCCCAGGCACGCTGAGCCCTCACTGTTCTTCAAGCACACCAGGCCTTTGCTTGAACTGTGCTGTCTTCCTCTCCTTCTCTCAGGCCTCCCTCACATATCAAGGGAAGCCTCACTGAGGAGGAGATATTGCAGCAGAAACTCCAAAGAGCCAAGGAAGCAAATGACAGGTGAGGAGGATGAGTTTTCTAGGCAAAGGGCATAGCCTTGGAAAAGACCCTGGGGCAGGACTATGCCTGGGGTCTCAGCAACAGCGCCCTAAGGGCTGGAGCAGAGTGAGCAAAGGTGAAAGAGGGAGGAGATGAGGATGGGGAGGGGTCCTTGTGAATCATGGGCAGGAAGGAAGCTTAGGAGTCCTGGAGGCCGTGGGCAGAGAAGGAATGGGACCGGACTCCGTTTTTAATGGGAGCCTTCTGGGGTGGCTGCAGGGAGCATAGGAAGGGACGGAGGACTACGCCAGCAATGGATGGGACTGGGCCAGGTGGAGGCAGAGGAGGGGAAGTGGGTAGATGCTGGTCCATTCTGAAGGCTGAGCTGACATAATGTGCTACCAGATTAGATGTGGGAGGGGCTGGGAGATCTGGGAAGAAGCCGACGCTGCTGAGATCTCACGGGAACGGGAAGGCCAGGAGGGAAATGGCCCCGAAACAACAGACCACAGCTCAGCTGCCAAAGGCCCCACAGCGGGCTGTGAATGTGTTCCAGCCCCAGGAGCCAGGCGCCCCACACAACTCCTAAGGCCAGTGGAGAGCCCAATCAGGCCTCCTCTGAACCAGGACGTGGGAGCCCAAGTGTTTAGAGTAACCAGATTCTAAATACCAAGATACGTTTCACCTCCCATCAGATTGGCCAAAATGGCAGAGGCTGATAACATCAGAAGCTGGCAACGCTGTGGGGAGACCGTCTCTCTTGGCCCCTGCCACACCTTCTCGGGAAGCCACTGGGTATCTGACGGTCATTTTTCAATCTGCTAGCCCCGGCCCAGCCATTCCAAGGTGGGACTCCACCTTCTAGGAACGGAAGCACCCACATTCAAAGGCAAGCCGTTTACTGCTTGTAACAGCAAAAGGCAACTCCAGAAACAACCTGAATGTCCCTCCGCAGGAGGCTGGTGAATCAGCAATGCTGGTGCCTACAGCAGCTGTTGCTAACACTCATCAGGCACTCTCCTCCCATTTTACAGAGGGGAACACTGAGGCCTCAGAGAGATCAAAGCATTTGCTCTTCAATGGAACCCAGGCAGTTAACTCAGGGATCCCCACCCTCTTAACCATGGCACATTATTCTTCCTCTCTGAAAAAAATCATCGATACCAACATGGGGGGGGGGGATCCAAACTATTACAGACAAAAAGCAGGCAACTTACAGAATGACAGGCATAGTACAGCAGCTCTGCACCAGCCTGACAATCTCCAGGGGACACCGGGCCATGCCTGGGATGTCTGTATTTGTCACAACCGGGGGGAGGAACTCCTGGCATCGGGCGTGTGGGTGCCAGGGATGCTGCTCAACACCCTCCAGTGCCCAGGACAGCCTCCCCCAAACAAAAAATTTTCTGGCTGAAACCTGTTTGGCTCAGTGGATAGAGCGTCAGCCTGCAGACTGAAAGGTCCCGGGTTCGATTCCCGTCAAGGGCATGTATTGTACCTTGGTTGTGGGCACATCCCCAGTAAGGGGTGTGCAAGAGGCAGCTGATCAATGATTCTCTCTCATCGATGTTTTTAACTCTCTATCCCTCTCTCTTCCTCTCTGTAAAAAATCAATAAAAATATATTTTTTTAAATTTTTCTGGCCCAAAAAGTCAGTACCAAGAAAAGAGACCCTGGGTGGCATGAACCGTCCTGGTGGAGAATGTGCAGGCCTGTTTGTGTGTTTGTGTAATTGTACAGCAATAGGAAAGGGGAGGACAGCTCTTCCCAGACTTCACAGAACTTAGGTCAGGAAGAGTGGGTTTGGAGGGGAGAGGGGCCCTTTGAAGAGTCAAACAAACCATTAGCTGGGAGAGGCAGATAGCTGTGGATTTCGGTGACAGGCAGGGAGGGCCAGCCCATCTCTTCCTGGCCCGGTGCTCAGACCCGGCCACAGCCCGCAGCTGGGATTTGATCTGTCCCTAATCAGCTGACCTCACCCCTGATAAGACCAATGTTTGCCCCGCAGCTTTCCGGTGGTCTGTGCTAGTTTGTCTCCGACTAGCCAGGCCAGAGGGCTGACAGCAGAGGTCAGGGTGCTGAGATAGGCCCTCGCAGGGGCCCTCCACCACGTGTGGTTGCTAGACAAGCAAGGACACGGGCTGAACCAAGGCGGGGCGGCCGGATGGTGGGAAGGAAACAGGTCATCCACCAGGCGGTTCCAGATGGCGGTGGCAAAGGAAGCAGTGGGAGTCTTCCAGAGTCCAGGATGCTCGCTCTGGCTCTCTCTTCAGACACCTCTCCCAACCGCACAGCATCTCCCTGCCTGCCAGGAAAGCTGTTGGAGGCCCAGGGGAGACGGAGGATGGATGCCCATGTGGGTGTCCACAGGACTCCGCCCATCAAGGCGACAGGGGAGGAGCAAAGGGTTCTTTGGATCAGAAAACTTCCTATTTGGGAGCCTGTGACCTCAACGGAGAAGGAACCAGAAGGAACCGCAGTGGCTGGGCTCTGTACTCCGCCCCAGGTAAAGGGGGCCTAGAGGTGGTGGGCGACCTCGCTAACTACCCCTGCTCTGCTGGCGGATGAGAATGGCAGGCCAGCGAGGGGGCAACCCGGGGGCAGTGGCCCTTCGTGGCGACAGCAGACCCCAGTGTCCAGGGAAAAGGCTCAGAGGGGCCTCCTCTTCCCCGTCTCCTTAAAGGGCCCCAGCACTGAAAATGCCTGGAGATGTCATGCCCTCAGCCCCCTCCTGTGAGAGGGAGGTAAACTGAGGACCAGAAAGGGGAAGAAGTGGCCAGTGCACCAGAGCTCATTCTGGTGACTTCCACAGAAAGAGAAGAGAGTCTGGAGGCTGACCCCGCCGGCCACAAAGATCATCCCTCCTCCACCCCAGCTAGCTACCCCAGGCCTACCCGACCAGTAAGGTTTGCCCTGTGAGGGGAAGGGGTGAGGCCAGGCAGCTGACACCAGCAAGGCGTGTGGCCCAGAAGGTGGGTCCGGGCCGGGGGGCACATCAGGTGCAATCATGCCCCACCTCGGAGACAGGGCCCCCTCACTGGAAAGGGCGTGCTTCATCATTCCACACACGCAGAACAGTCCCCCCTCCCAACGAGACTGGAAGGCGGTCGTCCCCGAGCGCCCTCAGCAGCAGGCGGAACTCACCCACCGCGCGTCCTTAGTGGGGGTTTCGCCGCCCCGGAGACGGGGACCGATCTCCCCGCACGCTTCCCGAGCAGGATGCTCCACCCATAGCCTCTCAGAGCGGGGCCCCGCACCCAATCCCGCCCCCGGTCCGCGTCCCCCCACAAGGGATCCCGGGAATCGGCGCGGACACTCGGAGCCCCCAGGCGGGGCGTTCCACCGCCCTGGGGCCCGGGGCAAGTCCCCCGGCCCAGTCGGGGGGCGTTCCACGACCCCCCTCCCCCCGCACCCCCGAGTGGAACGTTCCGGTCTCCCCGCCGCGGGTCTCGGCGCCCCTCCGGCGCTCGGACGGGTCCACTGGGCCCGGCGGGGGCGGCAGGCGGGTCCGCGCGGGGCGCGCACTGAGACGCGGGGTCCGGAACCGTTACCTGCACCGGCGCAGCTCTCCGAGGACCAGGTCGCCTCCGAGGTCACGGTCCCGCCCTCGGCACTCTCCGCCTCGTCCGGCACCTCCAGCTCCATGGCCGCGCGCGCGGACCCGCCGGCGAGCGGGCGGCCGGAGGCTAGGACTCGAGGTGCGGCCGCCGCCGCTGAACAACAACCGCCGCCGACCCGAGGCTACAGGGAGGGAGCCGAGCCCAGCGAGCGGGAGGAGGGCGGGGCCGCGGCCGGGCGCTACGCCAACACGCACGGCGCGCACCGCCAATCGGAACTCGGGGGGCGGGGCCTGGGTGCGTCCCAAACCCGCGGCGAGCCTCGAGCGCCCCCACACGCCCAGGGTGTGGAAGGGCAGCGCCATTCCAGCCACTAAACATTGTAATGGCATTACTATATATGGAAAATAAATAATACTTACAATTAATAAGTTACTTATTACCATATTATAAATAACACACGTTATTGTGTTAAATAGTTTAATATATATAGTAATTATAATAAGGTTTAATTTTCATTATGCACAATGTAAAATTATATGGGTTATGATATGTTATTACTAAATAAAATGAATACATTATAATATAATGATAACTATTGGTATATAATATAATGATAAGTATACATAATAATATTATTAAATGCTAGTCTCAGTGCCAAAGCCTTTGACATGCAAAATCTCCATAAGTTAGGGACCTGTTTTTTACTATTAGTATATTTCCAATAGCTAACACAGAACCTTATACCTAGGAAACAATGATTATTGTATAAAACTGATCAAGCAGTTATTGTCATTCCCATTTTACACATGAGAATCACACAAGGAATCATGCTGTCAATCAGTGTATTTATGTCTGAAGAACAATTGTATCACTGTTGTTATTAAAATCTAATGGTGAATTTATTAATGATATGACTAGACAGTTATTTATTGGGAAGTCATGATTTGAGGAGTAATAAGTGCTGCAGTCAGTAGTTTTATTCATAACCAATGGTTTCTGATGGGGGTGTGGCTGGGGTCTAGGAGAGAGGGCAGATGTCCTGCTAGTGAAGGTGGGGAGCTGGGATGTTTTCTCTCAGGCCTGCCTGACTCCAAAGGCATGGTCCCTCACCATTGTCGGGGGTGCTGGGGAGACATACCCTGGAGTTTGGTAGAGATGCAGAGTCTTGTACCCCACCTCAGACCTCCTGCATCAGACGCTCCTGGGGTGGGACCCCACCGTCTAGGCTTCAATGAGCCCCTAAGGCAGTGTGCATGCCGGAGAGAGTCTGAGAAGCACCCGATCAGACCACTGGGGAAGGGCTGGGGGTTGGATTAGTGATAAGGATCATGAAAATGAAATTTAAAAAAAAAATTTCAGGTTTGATTCTGAACCTCTCCTAGTAGGAAGTCAGTACTAAAACTGAAAATTCAAGAAGTGGCAAAACAGGCATTGTTTAAAGATGCAGAAATGAATGTCAAGATAATTTAACTTAATCTAAGAGGATGGCACCTCTGGGAAGGGAGAAATTGTGGGTGACAATGTCACTGCTAATTTTAACAAACCTGAAAAAGAATTCGACTCTTTAAAGTGCATGTGTGTATAAACTTTAGTTTTGTGTGTGTGTGTGTGTGTGTGTTTAACAATATGTAAAGAGAAAAAACCAAGCTGGTGCAAGGGTGGAGGGTGGAGGGTGGAGGGTGGGAGGGGACAGGAGAGGAGGCTGGGAATGGAGAGGAGGGAGGGGCCGGGTCTGGGTGGGGCAGCAGCTTCTGGTCCTCTTGGTTCATCCTCCCACGTCCCTGCTCCCTTATTCCCGTTTTTTAATTTTTTCTTGTTTATTGATTTTAGAGAGAGACATTGACTTGTTGTGCCACTTATTTATGCATTCACTGGTTGCATCTTGTATGGGCCCTCACCAGAGATCGAACCCCCGACTTTGGCAAGTGGGGAGGATGCTCCAAGCAACTGAACTACCCAGCCACTTTCCCGGTTTTACAAGGCGGAAAACTGAGGCTGCCAGCGGGGCCAATTGCCTGGTTTCGGGCGCCCCCTCGTGGTCATGTATGCTATTAGCATCAACGCTAGCTACCAGCTAGGAGGGACCCTTGTCACTCCCACCCCCCACCCTATATTCCATTCATTCATTCATTCATTCATTCGTTCGTTCGTTTGTTCGTACATGCATGCATGCATTCATGCCACAAAGACTAACTGATCACCTCCTGTGTACCAGGCACTGTTCTAGGCCACGGGGACACAGGAATGAGCAAGACAAAATCCCTGACCTCAATAAGGTGACATTCTAGAAGAGAGATAAACAAGCACAAGACAGAAGGTAGTTTCAGCTGCTAGTACACCGATTGAAAATAGCACAGATGTGCTCACAACCAAACCAGAGAGGGTTGGACCTGCATCACCACCATTTGTCCACCATCCAGAACTGAAGTGTTATTGCTGACATGTTCACATGAGGAACTGTTTGACATTGAAATTGGGACTCAAAAGAACTGCCGAGAAAGAAAGAAACTCACCACAGACTGATTCATTTGCCTCTCAGCATAACCATTATGGCCTGTCCCATTTCCAGTTCTTATAAGTGTATTTCTAGTATCACGTGATCTCACTCATCTAGGGGAAATGATGAGCAACATAAACTGGTGAACAAAAACAGACCCGGAGACAGGGAAGCATCGATCAGACTGCCAAACCTCAGAGGGAAGGGAGGGGAGGGGAGAGTTAAGGGGAAGAGATCAACCAAAGGACTTGTATGCATGCATATAAGCCTAACTGGTGGTCATGGACAACAGTGGGGTGGGGGCATGCATGGGGAGGGGTTTGGGATGGGAATGGGGGGATGAGGACAAATATGTGATACCTAATCAATAAAGAAATTATTTATTTGTTTATTTATTTTAATATATTTTATTGATATTTTACAGAGAGGAAGAGAGAGGGATAGAGAGTTAGAAACATCGATGAGAGAGAATCATCGATCAGCTGCCTCTTGCACACCCCCTACTGGGGATGTGCCTGCAACCAAGGTACATGCCTTTGACCGGAATCGAACCCGGGACCTTTCAGTCCGCAGGCCGACGCTCTATCCACTGAGCCAAACCAGTTTCAGCAAAGAAATTAAGAAAAGAAAAGAAAAGAAAATAACTATGGCAATAGAATGTGATTTAAAAAAAAAAAGGCAGGCTCAATATCTATTATTCATTAAGCACCTATTCCAGCACGGCCCAAGAACTACAATGCAAGCCAATGTAATGGCCAATTTTTAAGATTTTAATGATTGATTGATTTTAGAGGGGGAGAGATATTGTTGTTCAATTTGCTTATGCATTCATTGGTTCATTCTTGTATGTGCCCCAATCAGGGATTGAACTTCCAACCTTGGTATACTGCGAGGACGCTCTCATCAACTGAACTACAGAGCCAAGGCAATACAAGCCAATTTAAATGTAAAATCTTAACCTCAGCCCTAGCTGGTTTGGCTCAGTGGTTGGAGAGCTGGCCCTTGGGCTTAAGAATCATAGATTCGATTCAGGTCAAGAGCACGTACCTTGGTTGCAAGCTCGATTCCCAACCCTGGTTGGGGTGCGTGCAGGAGGCAACCAATCAATGTGTCTCTCTCACAGTGATGTTTCTCTGTGTGTGTCTCGCTCCCCCCCTTCCACTCTCTCTGAAAATCAATGGGGGGGAAAATATCCTTGGGTGAGGATTAACAAAAATATGAAATCTTAGATGTTATTTTTAAATTTCTACTAACCACATTATAAAAAGCAAAATAGAAAGTGGTAAGTTAGTTTAACCATATGTCTCATTTGACCCAACAGATGCAAAATATCATTGCAACATAGAATGGATATTAAAAATAACAAGCTCTGTGGTACATTTACACTGCGGAATACTGTGCAGCAGTAAAGAAGGATCTCTCACCCTTTGAGACAGCCTAGAGGGAGAGTATTATGCTAAGCGAAATAAGCCAGTCAGAGAAAGACAAGTATCACGTGATCTCACTCATATGTGGAATCTAATGAACAAAATACTCTGATGAACAAAATAGACCCAGAGACGTAGAACCATGGAACAGACTATTGAATCTCAGGGAGAAGGTGGGAGTGGGTGGATGCATGGGAAAAAAATCAACCAAAGAACTTATATGCATATAAGCATACTCCATGGACACAGACAAGAGTGTGGTGAAGGCCTGGGGAAGGGGGTGGGGGGCAGCTAGAAGGAGTCAATGAGGAGAAAAGGGGGACATATGTAATACTTTCAACAATAAAAAATGCTTAAATATATTTTATTGATTTTTCACAGAAGAAGGGAGAGAGAGAGAGAGAGAGCCAGAAACATCAATCAGAAACATCAATGAGAAAGAAACATTAATCAGCTGCCTCTTGCACACCACCTACTGGTGTGTAATGGAATGGAACCTGGGGCCCTTGAGGCCACAGGCCTATGCTCTATCCACTGAGCAAAACCGTTCAGGGCTAAAGATTTTTTCTTTAAGTACCATGTGAAAAAATAAGGAGCCCATCCGGTGTGGCTCAATGGTTGAGTGTCGACCCATGAATCAGGAAATCACAGGTTCAATTCCCATTCAGGGCACATGCCCTAGTGGTGGGCTCAGATCGCCCGTAGCAGGCATGCAGAGGCAGCCAAACAGTGTTCCTCTTTCATCAATTTCTCTCTAACCCTCTCCCTTCCTCTCTCTCTCTAAAATCAATAAAAAAAGTATTTCTGAGAAATAACAAGCTATTTTACATTCTTTGGGAGTACCACATCCTCCAAATCTGGTGTGGTTTTTTTATACTTAGCCACATCTCATTCGTTGGGATCAGTCACTTGTGGGTAGTATCTAGAAGATGTGGACCTACTGTGTGCTCTGTCCTGTTTGACGCACGTCAGGGACATTTATTCATCCACTCCCCATTCGAAACTCCCTGGGAAGTAGATGCTAGTTTCCCCCCCATTTTTTTATTTATTATTATTTTTTAATATATTTTATTGATTTTATACAGAGAGGAAGAGAGAGATAGAGAGCCAGAAACATCTATGAGAGCGAATCATCAATCAGCTGCCTCTTGCACACCCCCTACTGGGGATGTGCCTGCAACCAAGGTACATGCCCTTGACCGGAATCGAACCCGGGACCCTTCAGTCCCCAAGCCAACGCTCTATCCACTGAGCCAATCCTGTCTCGGCTCCCCCATTTTCAG